GACATTAAAATGTGGAAGTTTAGAGATGGAATCTTAAACTTAGAAAAAGTTATATGATAGCCAAAATGAAACAAATTTGTTTGTTCTTGCTCTGGATGACAAGACTGAAACTCATGGATTTCATTTTAAAAAGCAAAAGATTAGAGAGAACTAAAGGGCTTCTGGTCCTTTTTCTTGATGAACCAAAGAGCTAAGGTTTCAAGAAAATGCTTTATTTTTACTAGTATAGTATTTTTCACAACCAGCCATGTTGCTGCATACTGTATGCTTTTATAGAATTCAAACAGAGAATCTTCAAGAGCAGTAGAGTCTTAACACAGTTGCTTACAGGAACTTTACAAAGATTATTGATATGCTTACACACAAAAACATGGGGGAGAAACAGCCCAGCGTGGCTTCCTTAAGAAATTAACAGTCAGACTCTTTAGTGTCTTTGGGTGTGACTTGATGTTTGACTTATCCTGGCCTTTCAGTCTAGATCATGCTAAATAGAGTAGTATTGAGGTGTGGTTTGTCATTTGGGGCAATCCCTGCATCCACATGAAAGGATAAACCACACCACATCCCAAGTGACTCTGTTTAACAAGGTCAAGGCTTCTTTCCCTCTAAAAGAAAAACTTCCAATTTCTCAAGATCATTAAGCAACCCAGGCAAAGCATAAAAGATAAAGTCTGTTAATGACCTTAAGAAATTGGAAGCTTTCCTGTTAAATCATCCTTGCTGCTTACCTTGGAAGAAGGAAGGAGGAAAAGTTTTACCCTTTCTTTTTAATTGTTGCTAACCAACATGGCACATACTGCATGCCTTGAGAAGGCTTTAAGAGAAGCCTTTTTGAAGCATTGCTAATGCATTAGCAATAGTTAAAAAGAAATGCAAAAATTCCTCTCTTATGCCCTTGTTAAGTGACTTTTGCAAAGGGACAGCAGCCAACTAGCCGCTTTGGTTCAATCCGAGCAATGACATATACTGGAACCAAACCAAATGAAGTGATTCTACCCACACTTTAAAAGGAGTAACCCCTGACAGGAAACCAGAAAGGTGCAGGTAAGAATGTTTTGAGGATGGGCTGGTTTGCAATGTCAGTTATGTTGTGTGGTCACCAGCTGAAGACGCAAACCAGCCTGTCCCTACAGTTGACCAAAGAGCAGGACAAACACCCAGGTAGCCACCCCTTTACTTAACACCTTTCATCAGGTTAGATGGTTAAACTAGATATTGGACATGTCTACACTGGCTTTTCCGTGGGGTCACGAAGAGTCGGACATGACTAAACGACTAAACAACGACGACACTGGATTTTATAGGGCAAAGTAAATAGGGTTGCTTGTGGTCTAGTAGAGATGTCCAGTATGCCATTTGGTGCAGTCCTCACATCCAGATGGCATGCTGGACCTTAGGTGCCTTTTTTGTTTTGTTTTGTTTGCTTTTTGGCATCCTCATGATGTGGACAGGACCATTGGAGAGGCAAAGTCTTTCACTTGTCTGTTGGACTCTTGCCCTTCCTGGCTTATAAAAGTTGCCAGAGAGGGATTGGTCAAGTGGGTTGAAGGAGTGGTGAATGCCTTCTTGCAGCAGGGTAGGATCCCACATGCTTAAAGGAGGCACTAGTAAGACTACTGTTGAAAAAACCTTCTTTGGATCCCATAATACTGGATAATTATGAGGAGAACCACTTCCAGGATATTGGCCAATTAAATCCTTCCTCTTCTCTTGCGTGGAAGGGCAGTGGACGATGGGGAATTGGATTCTATTAGGGTAGTGCAGATGTGCTGCAGTGGTGGGGGGGGGAGAAAAACCCAGAAAATGTCCTCCCAGGAAGTGGCTATGAAGGGCATTTTAGGAAAAATCCTTTCCCTTGCATTAAAGGTCCAGACAAGAACCTGCTTGCAGCTGGAACCCCAACAGAGCTCATTGGAAGCCAGATCAAGGAAGCCTTAAAGTGGATATCAGTCAGCTTAAAAGGAGGCAGTTAAATTTGAAAGCTGAAAAGTAACTTGCTTCAGAGTGAACTGGCCATTGTGTTGTCGACTAGTGTGCAGTAAGCTTTTTGAAATTCTGTGTGATACAGTGGTGTCAGAAGAGGGAAGAAAGTGTGCCTTCTAAATATTTAGCCTATTTGATAAAAAAGTTTAATGGAAAGGTCAGTACGATTTATGAGAGTAAGTTGCTTGATAGATTGTTTATGAACATTTGCTATTGTGTGAATTTAGTTTACAAACATACACAACGAGTGCCTCACACAACGATGAATTCACACAACGATGCCTTTTTCTGTTAAATTTGCTGCCTCACACAGCGATGTTTCCTATGGGGGATTTTCACACAACGATCTCCCTTTTCGCTCCTGTAAAAGTGTCTTAAAATGTTTGGAAGCTGTTTTAAATGATTGCAATGGTTAGTCCACCTCCTGAAACCTATGCAAACTGATTTTGGTGTTGTTCTGACACTTTGTTATGATGATTTTTTGAAATTTCTCCATTGGAAACCATTGGATGGTCTGCCTAATGGTTTCCAATGGAAAAAACAAAAAATCATCATAAATTAACGAAGTGTCAGAACAACACCAGAATCAGTTTGCATAGGTTTCAGGAGGTGGACTAACCATTGCAATCATTTAAAACAGCTTCCAAACATTGTAAGACACTTTTACAGGAGCGAAAAAGGACTTCGCAAAGGCATTGAAATGTATTGAGTCGGCTTCAATACATTCCAATATAGGAAACATTGTTTCACTCAACGATGTTTCCTATGGGGATTTTCATTGAACGATGGCAATCCGTTCCAATTGGAATGGATTAACCGGTTTTCAATGCATTCCTATGAGAAATGGTGTTTCACAGAACGATGTTTCACACAACGTTGATTTTTTTGGAACCAATTAACATCGTTGTGTGAGGCACCACTGTATTTTATTGATCTCAGTTTCAGCAGGGTGTGTGAGGCAGAAGCCAGATTAATTTTACAAAGTTACAGAGGAGTAAAAAGACAGAGTATTCTAAAAAACATTTCTAAAGTGCACAGATTTCAGATCTCATCACTTACCAAGAGAGTCATAATCAAATGTTTGATTATGTTCAATGTGGGATAGTACAAAACAAATAAATGACAAACTCATGAATATAGAACTAATGTTTTTGAAATAGAATGTTTCATTCTGCTTATGTTTTTTTAAAAAAATACCGTTTCCCTGAAAATAAGACAGGGTCATATATTAGTTTTTGCTCAAAAACGCATTAGGGCTTATTTTCAGGGGATGTTTTATTTTTGACATGTACTACCATCTACATTTATTCAGATGCAGTCATGTCATCTTCTGATTGCTGCACAGTGGTAGAGGGCAGGGTTTTACTTAACTAGGGCTTATTTTTTGAGTAGGACATATTATGGGCATCCTGAAGAATCACACTAGGGCTTATTTCAGGTTAGGTCTTATTTTAGGGGAAACAAGGTATGTGTTCTCTTCCTAGTATTAGATTAACTTTTCTTCAGAATTTTGTTTTCTGGCTTTTGGATGAATTAATCTGATTGCAGCTTTTCAAAAACTGTCAACTGGAACTCTGAATTTTCAGATTAAATTTAAATATTACTTTCAGTTTAGTAGCAATATAGATGTGTATTGTTTACTTTTGTTCCTTATGCTTTGAAGTGAACACTCGAAATAATTTTGGAGCTGAATATGCTGATATTTTTGAACCCTGATCTAATGAGTAGTGTGCAAAAATTAATGTTCTTAATTGAAAAAAAAACTCTCTCTAGTTTTCCCCACTTCTTCCTCTAAAAACTGTTAACTTTGAAGCAACATCCCACCTTCTCCTAGGACCATGTATGACTCAAGGTTACATTTTAAATGGGGACTGTGATAGACAGCATCTATAATTACAGCAATTTTTTTATCTGGCTCTTTGAACTGTCAAGCTAGTCACTGATTGCATCAAGTACTAAAAACCTGTGGAGAAGATTTATACATATGTGAAATTAATCTCTCACTTGCCTCTCTATTTAAATGTGAAATATGCAGAACATTTCCAAAACATTTTAGAAGGACATGGTAAAACAAATCAATATATACTTTCATTCTTAGTTTGAGTTGATGCACATGCCTATATTTATTGTGCAATTGTTTCTGATAGTTCAATTTCATGATTTTAGAGTCATATAAGAATTATACTGGATTATGTTTACCAATCATGGAAATATAGTGCCCATTAATACAGGTAAACTCTTCCCTTGATAGATTCTGCATCACCCATTTGGGTTAATTAGCTTTTCAGAATGCATAAATAAAATGCAATAAATAAATAAATAAATATACTGTCAAATATGCAAATAATCTGTTTTTTGGAGATTAAACAGGAGTTTTGAAAGTGCTTTTACATGATAATCCCAATCAAAATATGTAACCCTTAGAGGAGAACAGCTTTCAAATAAAATGCAGTTATTGGAGCAGTACGACTATGGAACCAATTACCTCGGGAGGTAGTGAGCCTTCCAACACTGGAAGCATTCAAGGGAAAATTAGACAACCATCTGTCAGATCTTCTTTGACTTGGAGTCCTGCATTGAGAAGGGGGTGGTACACAGGCCCCTTCCAACTCCATTATTCTATGATTCTCTGATTAAATTGCCAAACCTTTTGAGCTAAACATCTTGTCCCAAACGAATGACAATGATTGTGGATCCTCAAGTATATGTGAAATAAATGAGAATTATATTCTTTACAATTAAAAAGTGTCTTATACCACCTTAAAAATAGCAGATTTATAGTAAGTATCACAACTTTTAGAGTATTCATTTTAAAATGAAGTAAATGTTTCCTATTAGAACAGATAATAAAAGAATATTTGGAGGAAAGCTGTATGTTTTGGCATCTGCCCCTGAGCATTTGAGGTGCAACCTCAGTGGGCTGCATGGCATCCTGAAGTTATAATTATTAATGTTAAATGTGTAATTGTTTAAATATTTCATCAAAATTAATATGCTACTACACTTCTAATTTTCAGGAATTCTTTGAACATGCAAAAAAGCTCTGGGACGACGAAGGAGTAAAGGCGTGTTTTGAGAGATCAAATGAATACCAACTGATTGATTGTGCACAATAGTAAGTGCAGCTTACAGAAAAAATGTACTTCTTAAAAATATATCTAAATTTAGACGTAGGGGATAGTGGAAACATGCAGAGGGTTTGTTTGTTCTGATTCAGGGAGATGTTTTCAGTAAACTGTTTATATCAATTTTGTCTGAGCCACATCTCTGCTTGAGTGTCTTAGCTTACACCTTTACCTTCTGTTTCTGATCATTAAATTTATTTTAAATGCATCAAGGGGTGTTACCCACACATATAGGTGTGATTATTTTAGTTTCTGATATGCTTTCTCTTTTTCAGAAATGTCCTTTTAAATAAAGGACAGAGTTTAAAAATAATGAAGCTCTAAGTACATTCTTGGTCCATCTTTGTCATTCAGCTCATCTGAACTTTTTTGACGCAAGAGCCATTTCAGTATATAGTAGAGGATTTATGGGGAAAAACTGTGACCAAGCAGGATCTCTTACTTGGTTATACTGTATGTGTTTTGGATATCTCTGACAAAACTTGATTTATTTTTGCATCAAACTAAAACAGTTATGCTTACAGTATATTGCTTATATTGTTCCAGAAATATTTTTTTTATAAAACATTGTTTATTAAAGAAGCATGACATTATTGTTTGCTTATCTTTTTGTGAAATGACTGAGGATGTTTGGAGAGAGAAATGCATATAATAGTGGTGGTGGGGACTATATATTTTGGGTATATATGAGCAGATGAGTGATTCTGTGAATAAGAAATAACTCTACAAAGCTACCTGCTTACTTTTTTTAAAATTATACTATCACCCTTCACAACCATCATTATTGAAAGAGCTATAATGCTGTAAATAAATAAATAAAATTGCATTTGGCACCTAATTTTACAGGGAATAAGAAAGGCCATAAAAACAATAAAATCTGGATCTCTTTTTTGGACATACAGCAAGCCCCAGAAGCCCAAAATTGTTTCTGGTCAGTTCGAGGCCTCCAGTTCCTTAACAAGGGATACTAATGGAGCTGTGGTTGTGAAACTGAACAGGAGTTTGGTGTGTTAGAGATTTGAAGTTTCTTGCTCCTGTGGCCTGCCTCATTCACAGTAAAACTTGGAGCCGTTCAAGCTAAAATCTAACACCAGATGAACCCTCTGATAGATGTGCAAATATTTCTCCTTTACATCTTAGGACAACATACAGATTACATGGTTCTAACAGTGAACTCTCCCACTCCGTCCTCTTCGTAATATGCTTGATGGCAGAATTGGTTATCCTGAAAGATTGTACATGTTTAGGTCCTTTTAGTTGGTGTAATAAAAGTATAACTATAACATGAATTTTGGAATTTGTCCTTTGGCCAACACAGTTTTCCCGTTTGTTATTTTATAGTTTGTTTCATGTAAAGGCATATATGAGACACATTCTTTTGTTGCTTGTGGTAGAAGAAAGCACAATTCATTAGATGTTTGTTGAAAGGAAGGGGGGCAAACCTACCCTTTATTCGGAAGGAGCTGCAGAGTCTGGGAACAGCCACAAAGAAGGCTGTCTCTTGAATTCACACCAAAATGGATTGAACTCCGACCTCTTCGTAATATGCTTGATGGCGGAATTGGTTATCCTGAAAGATTGTGCATGTTTAGGTCCTTTTAGTTGGTGTAATAAAAGTATAACTATAACATGAATTTTGGAATTTGTCCTTTGGCCAACACAGTTTTCCCGTTTATTTTATAGTTTGTTTCATGTAAAGGCATATATGAGACACATTCTTTTGTTGCTTGTGGTAGAAGAAAGCACAATTCATTAGATGTTTGTTGAAAGGAAGGGGGGCAAACCTACCCTTTATTCGGAAGGAGCTGCAGAGTCTGGGAACAGCCACAAAGAAGGCTGTCTCTTGAATTCACACCAAAATGGATTGAAAGTGGTAGGGCCATGAGAAAGATCTTTCAGTAGGTACCAAGGCCCAGGTAGGCTTATATGGGAGAATATGGACTTTCAGATAGGCTGTAGCCAGTTTCATATAGGGCTTCATAGAGCATAACCAGCACATTAAAATGTTCCAGGACATGGGCTGGTAGTCAATAAAGCTGTTGTAGGAAACTCCACATACCCTCTCTTAAGCAGCTTCATGTATGCATTAAGTAGTATAGGAGACAAGACAGAGGCTTGAAACTCCACATATCCTCTCATAAGCAGTTTCATGTATGCATTACGGTAAGTAGTATAGGAGACAAGACAGAGGCTTGAGGAACACTACAGGCCAGCTTCCACCATATCAAACAGGAGTCTCGAACACCAGCTTCTGATACTGGCTCTCTAGGAAGAACCAGAGCCACTGTGTAGCAATGCCACCAAGTATTATCCCCAAGAGGTAATCCAGAAAGATATCATTGTCAGTTCATAAAAAGCCACTTAGAGGTCCAGCAAAACTAGCAGGGACATAATCCCTCTATCTGTTTCCTGATATAGATCATCCATTAAGATGACCAAAGTTGTTTCCAACCCGTGCACTAGCCTGAAGCGAGATTGAAATGGATGTAAATAATCTCTTATATCCAGGAATCTCCAGAGCTAGGAAGCAATCACATATTAATTCATATTTGATTTCTAAGAGCGATTGCTAGGTACTTCCTTGGTAATTTTAGGAATTTTGCATTTTAGATCAGATTGAATCACAGTGTTCTAGTTCTCCTTACTAACTGGCGTCCCGGTCCATACATGTGTACACTTAATGATAGGCAGAATGCACAGGAGTTTATGTGAAGATCTCTATGCGTTAAACTTTGAAACAGATGGTTAGAGCTGGATTGAGAATCTAGAAGCGGAGTTGGTCAAACAGTAATTTAATATGTAAATTGAAGAGGGTCCCACATATTTTTCTTTTGCCAATCAACCACCCCCTTTGTTTACTGTTCTTAGAATGTTTATGGACTACATTTGTTGGTGTGTTGCAATGGCTTGGAAGGAAGAACTTTTCTCTATCTTCACTGGGCTTCTGCATACTGAAAATAGAGAGGTAGGGGAACCCTTGAAAACCATCACCCAAAAAGGGGCATGAATATACCCAAGACTTCAGTGGTTTTCATTTTCTCTAGTGTTTAGATAAAGAGCAAAATTAATTTGAGATTCAATGTTATGTATTAGGGTTGAGGCTTTCATGTTTTTATGATTTCCTCTCCCAGAATGCAGCCAGAACCGTTCATGGAGAATTACAGGAGTGAAATTCTTCAAACCAAAAGTGCAGTAGGCGCTTTTCTTGCTGTTTGAAGAAGAAACAGCACAGGAAGAGAATGGAAGTAGGGAAAGCTGGTATGACCCTTTTCAGTTTCAGAGGTTTCACTCCCTTAATTCTGCCTGGGAGTTCTGGGCAAATTCTGGGAACAAAAGTCCTAAAGATAACAAAAGTCCCATCCTGTATAATCACTTCACATACTTTTTCTGGAATAAGGCCCTGAGGTCAAGGACTGTAAGAACAGAATAGAGACATACGGCTTTGAAAACTGCAAATAACAATACAGCTTTCTCAGTTTGAGTTTGATAAAACAAAATTTGCTGAAAGGGCAGTATGGCTGCTAGCCATAAGGTGAACTGTCAGGATGGATGTTTTGTGTCTTAATGAATGACCTAAACACAAAAAAAGTTCAATTTATTTAGTATTTTTTTTGTTGATTGCTAAAGAGGACTTCTTAAACACGAATGATTTGTGTTTACAAAAGAGGGGTACCCCTAATGGATCACTCACACTATTAACTTCGCTTACAAACTGTCAGGCACACCTGCTCCCAGTTCCATCCGACTACACTCCACTAGACCAATCTGAATCTCAGTTGCCCTCTCCCAAGAAGTTCTGTTGCACCAAATATTCAGAATGGCTACATAGTTGCATCAACTTTTTTGAGCACTACCACCTCAATGTGCAGTCTACCGCTGCTGCTGTTAAACAATTCTTGAATGAAAAAACTTCATACTTAAATACTAATTTGTAGTAATCAAGCATAACTGGCTGGGTGTTTATGTTCTTTGTGTTCCATTTTTTAAAATTCTCCCTATTAAAGAAGCCACCTCACAAGAACCGCTCTAGAAGAGAACAAAGGAAAAATAACAATTTGAGTGAAGTCCCTTTAACTTAACTCATATAGAGAAGTGTGAAATATTTTTCCCTCTGTTCTTCATAGTGCCACCTCTCTGGGTAGACACAAATGCAACAGCTTCAGTGGCTATCTTGTTCCATTCCTCTTTTCCTTTCAAGTTAAAATGCATGTGGTAGCTTAAAATTGCACAAATAAAAGGATCTAGTGGTAAGAGCCAGGCTTTTTAGTTTGGATTCCAGCTTTCTTTCTGTGAACAGGGGGAGGATTTCTGGCTGCATCTTCCCTCCACAGCTTCCCATAGCCCTCGAAATTTGTTCTTCAGGATTTGTGTACCCTCAGGAACAGAGCAATAGCTGGTAGAAGTAAGTGGGGATCACTAAAACTCAGCCTTCATCTTACGTGAGCAGAAGCTTCTTTTCACTTTCAGAGAACACTCTTAAATGTAAGCCTTTCTTCCTTGATCAGTACTCATTAATCCAGTGCTTATTTAGCCAAAAGCTCTTGAACTGCGAGAACATAGTTCTCAGAACTGATTTTCACAGCAAGTTTAGCCATACTGGCTATGTTTGTTGAAAACTGTAGCCCATCACACCGGGAGGGTGCAAGGTTGTGAAAAGGTTTATGAAGGCATGCTTTTCATATTGTATAGCATATGGGTACCATCAGAGGAATTCCTCTTCTCATTCAAGTTAATTGAGGACATGTAGCATGTAGGAATGTGCATTTCTTATTTTGTTGGGCTACATCAGCTAGACATCTGCTGGAATAGCGCCAACCAGAATTTGGGAGGCTAGCACCTCTTGGGGCACGAGGGGTATGGTAGTTTCCTGAGAGGCATCCTATATGGAGGATAATAGGCAGGAAGACTATGAAATCCCTACTGCTTTGCAGTGCCACGGAGCTTATCTTTTATCATTTATGTAGTAGCTGTAAAATATCAAACGTGTGAG